TAACAAAAGTACATCGAAATGGATCAAAGACCGAAGTAAATAAGTGCAAAGGAGGGAAGAAGAATGGCAAAAGATTGGTGCAATATATATAGTAGAAGTGAAAAAGTGAATGATAAGATGTGGGGTCGGTCAATCACGCAAACCGAAGGCCTTGCGGAGTCGGGGAAAGCGTTTTTTGCGTCCAGAAGATGCAATGACGACGTCGGCGGCGGGACGAGTATCGTTCTTCGTCGCCGATGCTGCTGGGATGGAAGGATCCTGATTCTCTTTGGAGGCGGGTCCGCCGGCAGGAGCGGGGATCGGGCTATTGCCGGCATGCTCGTCAACGGTCGCGAGGCGCTCGTCGACACCGTTGATGGTAGCTGCAGGTGCGGTTCCCGATTCCTTACGCTCGGTGCGTAACGGCCAACCGTCACTGCGCGAGGACCGTTGTGACGCACGTCGCACAAGCTTGGACGAGGTTGGCGGCGGCGGGTTGGTCGCCGTGATAGTGGTGACGACGTTGGTTTGAGCTCCAGGCAGTGGGGGATCTTGCTCGCCCTCGGCTCGGGAACGCTCTGAAAGACCGCCATTTCGAGTAGTACCGTTGGTGAGGGACCTGCGATTGACTGGCGATTTGGACTTGCGCATGCTGAACCGATGGAACAGTCCCGCCTTGCGCCCTCGGTTGGGCTGGAGAAACTCGTCCATCTCCTCATCCGTCATGCCACGACTCCGAGCCACTGCTGCCAAGGCAGGGTCCCGGGTTGGGCCTGACTTGCGGGGAGATGGCACAGCAGCTCGCGGTCGAGACGCAGCCGCCTGCCGCTCCTCGTCGGAGCTGTCTTCTAGCTCCGTTGAATCGCCATCGTGAGCGCCCTGTCGCCGAGGTATCCCTCGAACAGGGGGTAGCGGAGCTGGTGCTCGCTCATCCTCGTCGTCACTCGAGTCGTCATACCGATATCGTGATCTCCAATTGTCGAAGCCCTCGTCGTCGTCCGAATCAGGGAAGCGTGAAGTAAACCGACTACCAGGTACCTTGGATACCTTATTCTTCGGCGACTTATTGGAGAAGAATGAGCCCTTTTCGCGCTTGGTTCCATTCATTCGAAGCGTGGTTCGCATATTACCACCCGATTGCGGCGAACGCGGACGTGAGTCGGCGGGCGGGGACATTGTCCGGGATGGGGCCTGTCGGACTGGAGGGGCGCCCCGCATCGTCAGACGCATGGTGTGGTTTGACTCTGCCCGAGATGGACGACTGGCTCGCTTGAAGCTGCTCGAAGAATCGCTGTCACTGGATAATGTTCTCCGCGGAGTTGGTGCCTTGCCGTTCGCTGCTGACGCACGATTCTTACCGCCGACTCCATTCTGCATGGCAGCAGGACTCCATGACATTGGCCTCGCCCGGTCTTGAGTAGCAGTTGGCTGCATTGCAGTCGCCTGCGGGAAGTCAGAGGTCTTCGTTGCTGTGTTGTCTGCACGATTGCCTAGGTTGGGTTGTTCAACAGACTTGACATGGTGAGAAGCCGACCGTGCGAGGCCGACTTGGACTGAACCATTTTTACTTTCTGCCTGCGACGGCGCTGCGAAAGGAGGATAAGGAGACGAGAAAGGCATGGCTTGATGCACCGACTCGGGGGATTCTGGGACGGGACTGAGGGCTGTATCCTGCACTGGAGAGCTCGCACGGGCAATCTGACAGGTCTGTGGATACTCCGAATCCGACCACTCATCCGTATGATGTTGATCCTTATCAGAGAGACCAAGTCCTGCTGCTGAGCCTTGGAACGAGGGAAGCGACGGCCGGCCATCGACGACAGCATCAATGGAGCCAAAGCCATGGCCATTGACGCCCTCCTCCGCATCACTGTAAATGCTCTCTCCGGACTCGTCGTCAGTCTCTCGCTCTGCGGCTGAATCGACCATGACATCGGTGTCGTCCCATGTAATTGACTTTCTCTTAGACTTTGCCTGTGTGGGATCCGACTCTAAGGAGGAACGTGGAAAGCCCCCTGGGACTTCGTACCATTCCAAGCTCGGGCGCTCTTTTTCAAGTTCGGGCGAAGCTGGTTGAACAGTAATATCAGGAACTGCCAAAGTCTCTCTGGGAGTTTGTGGTTGTGTTGCCTCAGCTAGGGCGTTGACCTCCGCCGGGTGGCTGATTGCCGTGCCCGGCTGTTCTCCCTGATCACCCCTGTGACTCGATTCTGACGGACTTTCTAGCTCCAACACTGTTGGAAGGGGACTAGCAGGACGAATAAGTGTTGTGCTCTCTTGCGGCACCTCACTCCGAGCATTGACTAGGACACCTCCCACAGCATGGTCATTCGAGAACGAAAACCTCGACGTATCGATTGGAGAGTCGGACGAGGTCGTGGATTCATTGTCGCTAATCTCGCGAGGCTGCGGCTCCGGCTGGCCGCCCGTCCTGTTACCTCGAATGCTGCCAAATGACGGCAGTGCAAGCCGAGGTTTCAACATATGCTCAAATTCATCAGGCGTCCCGCTTCGGAGATTTTGTTTCCGCTTAGCAAACCACCCACCCTTACTCTTGGGCTTTGATTGCGGCGACTCGGGCAGAACTTCGTCGGGAGATGTCGGCGGGCTCGCTGCCGTGCCCACAATTTCCGCTTCATCATCGAAGCTGACTTTGGCATGCCTCTTTCGAGCCCCTTGCTTTGAACCATCATCGGACGCGACAGAAGTACCATCGGATAGTTCACTGAGCGCAGGGCCTGGTCGCAGCACTGTCTCTGGGTGGGGATCGGAAGCAAGGCCGTCTTTCCGGGTATGTTTTAGTGCGGATTTGGCCGGCGACACGGACCTTGGTGGGGGTTGGTGAAGGTGATCGCTCGGAAGGTTCGCCACCAATAGGTGTCGTGAGAAGCGAGCGGAGCGCCCGGGGCTGCTGGATTGACGCATATGTGACGGCTGCGGTTCGACACTGGCGTCGACGGAAGGCTGCGAGCTCGGCGGGCTTATCGGGGGGCTGAGTAATTGATCCTTAGTCTGGTCCGGCGTAGATTGCGGTTTGATGGTCTGTGGGCTCTCTGGTGTCACAGTACCCCCACGAGGGAGCTCTGCTCGCTGGGCGGGGGCAGAGGTTTCTGCCTGTTCCTCCCCTTGGGCATCTTCCGGCACTGTTGACGGGCGTTTCACCAAGGCAGGGCGTGTAGGATGTCGGGCTTCGGGTGCCAGGAGCTGCTGAGTCGGTGCTGGGTCCGGAATACTTCGATCTTGAGATGAAGTCCTCCGCGGAGACGCAGCAACTGGGCTCGCTTCTTGGCTTCGGGGTACAATGGCAGCCTGTGCAGCAGCCACCGCAGTCCCTGCAGACGATGGACGCTGTCCAGGGCTACCGGGGGAGACACCCCTAGTTTTGGCGCCGCGCGTTGCTCGGGGGCTATTGCTCGTAACCTTAGGAGACTCAGGAGCGGAAAGCTGACCGGCCAGAGAGGTAGTCGTCGATGCATCCATTTCCATCAAAGCCGTCGGCGATGTCGGCCGTGAGCCCATCGGATATGAGAAGTTGATCGAGTTTCGACTCGCGGGTCGTCGCAGCTCCGGGGACGGCGTCGATGCGGGCGCTTGTGCGGGCGCTCGTGTCGGCGGCTTGGGGGCAGCAGTTTGATCCCCGGTTGTTCCCTGGTCGGCCAGCGATTTTCCGCGCGGACTTTGTCGCAGTGATGGGCCCATGCTCACCGATCGACGTGCTTGGTCCTTTCGCCCGGTATATTCGCGGGGAATAGACGGGAGCGGCGGTGCGGGGTCGACATGCTCAGCGCTTGATGCGGGTCGCCGCGGGGATTGATCACGAAAAGTGCGATGCGTCATGGAGGCGGAACTACTGGAGCGACGGACCCCATTCCCGCTGATGGGTCGCAGACTCGGCGTGCCACTTAGTTGCGAGGAGACGGAAGTCCGCCGCTGCATCATCCGCTTGGTCTGCACATTTTCGACGGGGGTTGGGGTGGGGGTGAGGCTGCGCAGGGCGGCGGCCGCGGCGGCGGAGGAGAGACTGCTGGACGAGGGTTGGGATTTGAGAAAAGCATGGCTGGCAGCGGATTGCGCGGATTGAGAGGAGGAGGCCGAGAGAGGATGCTAGATGAATGAGCGGGCGATTAGCTTGTTGGAAGATCCGAATGCCATTCCCACGGAACGAGGGGTTACCTGATGTTGAGAGGAGCTCCTCTTTCTGCGGAACATGGCTCAGGCGGTCGTTGCCCAAGACGAGCGCAATTGAGTTTCCAAGCGACTGAGCCCGTGAACTCAACCTACAGCATATATTGATGGGTTGAATGGGCAATTTGATGTAGTGTATGAATGTGTTTTATTCAAGGGGATAGCGACGGAGGTCGACGGAGGGAGGGAAAACAAACGGAAAGAGAGTCGCAGCAGCAACAGGAAAAGTGAGTGAGTGCAGATGCAGGATATCGGAAAGGGGGGAGGGAAAGAAAGCAAGGAGAATGCAGGGACTGCACGACGGGGATGAAGCGAAGATGAGGATGGCACACAGCGCACAGCACGGGATAGCACAAGATGGCAATAGACAAGACGAAAAAGAAGGACGGGGGAGCGAGAGAGGCAGCAAAGGAAAGAAAGACGTTTGGTTTGGGGATTATCGGCAGCAGGAGAGAAAAAAGGGCCAGAACCTTAGTTGGGCTGCAGAAATTGGTTGCGTCATTGAAATCGGGTCGAGGATCGAATGGACCGAACGGATTGAGCCCGAGTCAGTCAGTAAGTTAGTCAAGAATTAAAACTGGAAGAACTTATGGTTCGTTCCATTGCGCTTCCAGTGTTAATTCCATTGAATTCCCATGGTCGGGGAACTTTGGGAGGAACGGGGGAGATTCATCATTGGTCTGTCTCGATCAGGAAAAGCTCCGGTCCGCCGCAAGAACGTGATCTTCTACGCTAAGCTTTATTAGGCAGGCACTTTTGGAGCCCGCGGCCCAGTCAATCAATCAATTGGAAGTTGGGTTTCCTCATTTCCAGGTCAGACCCATCGTCATCATCATCATCACCATCATTCATCACCGTCCTCATCCTCATCCTCATCCTCTTCCTCTTCCTCCCCATCCACACCCACATCCACAATACAATCCCCATCATCATCGTCATAGCGCAAGTCTCAAATTTTTATCCGATCAGCTCCATCTACCGATCGCCAGATCGTGCCACTGACCGGATCTCTGCATAATTCAAGCACAAATATTTACTCACAATTCTACCCCACACCAGTACCTAAGCCTCCCGTACTCCGTATACTTTTTCAAACTCCACAGATCCCTCCCAAACTATGACAACATCGGTATCACCACCATTCCTCCCTCCCCTTCCACTCCCCTCCGGCATAACCTCCCGCTTCATAACCACACCCTCCCTGACAACCCACATCCTCGAAGCTGGCCACCCACCACACAATAACCACCATGACCATCCCCTCATAGTCCTTCTCCACGGTTTTCCCGAAATCGCCTTCTCCTGGCGGAAAGTCATCCCCGATCTTGCCGCGGCCGGCTACCACGTCGTGGCCCCCGACCAGCGGGGCTTCGGCCGCACGAGCGGTTGGGACACCCGCCCCTACGCCGAGGCGGACCTGCACACGTTCACCGTCTCCGCCCTCGTCCGCGACGTCGTCCTCCTCGTATATGCACTGGGGTACACCTCCGTCCACTGCGTGGTCGGGCACGATTGCGGCGCCGTGACCGCCGCCATGTGCGCCGTGGCCCGCCCGGATCTCTTCCGCAGCGTTGTCCTTCTCAGTCACCCCTTCAATGGCATGCCGGCGCCGGCGAGTGTTGTTGCTACGTCTGTGGATGGCCAGCAGCAGCAGCAGCAGCAGCAGCAGCAGCCAGCTGGCTCTTCTGCTGTCCCCCGAACCTCGACAGGCAACGATCCCAACTCCATCGCAGGAGACGAGGACGTGCACTCTGCCCTGCGGGATCTGGGCCGCAAGCACTATAAATGGTATTACTCGACTCCGTCGGCCAGCGCCGATATGCTCCACCCTCCCGGAGCGGAAGGGCTTCATGGCTTCCTGCGGGGGTATTTCCACCTCAAGAGTGGTCGCTGGACAGGGAATAAGCCACGCACGTTGGCCGGCTGGACCGCTGACGAGCTCGCTAAGATGCCGTACTACTATGTCATGCCAGCGGACGCGACGATGCCGCAGGCGGTAGAGCTACACATGCGCGAGGAGTCGGAGGATGGGCTGCGGGCCTCTCGGGAGTGGCTGTCCGATGAGGATCTCGCGGTGTACGTCAGGGAGTACCAGCGGACGGGGTTCCAGGGGGGTCTAAACTGGTACCGGGTGCAGACAGCCAAAGGGAAGCAGTGCACCTGGGACTTGGAGGTGTTCATGGGGAGAAAGATCGACATTCCCTGCACGTTTGTGTCGGGCAAGCTCGACTGGGGAATCTACCAGCAGCCGGGCGCCTTGGAAAAGATGGAAAATGGAGAAGTGTGCAGTGACTTCCGCGAGATGCGGTTAATTGACGGGGTGGGACATTGGGCGCCTCAGGAGAGTCCAGAGGAGGTAGTCCAGGCAATTTTGAGCCTAGTCGGTAGTCTTTAAGTACTCGATAGGGTATCGTAGAGTAGAACTACCTGACATGATGCGGACCATTCGCCTTCGGCAGCCGGCCTAAGGCGGACCACATGCATCCTTATCTGCCTTGGCAAATGCACACTCGGCCAGTCGGACAAGCTCGGTGGTAAAATTACCCAAAAAGTGCGCGTGAAAGATTACGCCGAGGGTGGGTGTTCGAATTGGGACTTTCTTCATCAGTTTGGGAACGCCCCGTAGGGTTTTCATGAGGCCGGATCCTAGGGGGTCCTTGAGGACAGCGCGAAACAGCGCGAGGACTGCAGTGACTGCGTAGAATATAACCACCCTATCGGAAAAAAAAAATCAAAAAATCAACGGCCATTTTCGCGTTGTGTAGAGACAGACAAAAGCACTCACCAGAAACATTCTCCCGCCAGGACAGGCAATGCGACCTCGAGGAACGAAAGTGTCGACTGATTGGCGTTCGTGACCAGCATGGCACTAGAGACTCTATCCCTTGCGGGCCAGCCACGGCACCTATCAATGGCTTGATGAATGAGTGCGACGCAGTGATAGTATGTAAGCCGCAACATGATTGCCTGTGTGTTCAGGCCGCGACTGACCGGCGTTTCGTCGTGGAAGGTCATTGTGGGCCGGATATCCGGATGTAAGCTCTGCCTCCATTGTTCCAGCTCTTGGTCCAGACTCCGGATGCTGGATAGTATCTCAGAAGCCGATTTCTTCGCAGCATTTGCGGAATAGAGAGCCTGGTAGACGTTCGACTTGATCATCGAAAGTCGAAGGTCGAAAGGGAAGAGGGGGATGGTGTCATCGGTACTCGACCTTGTCTCTCGTTGCATGTTGGACTCTTGCAGCTGCGCGTAGTTCGCAGGGAGAGTGAGGTCACAGTGAGTGTCATTGATACATGGAGGCTGCCCGATTCTCAAGCAAATGTCTTTGTCAAATGAGAAGCATAGCCAGAAAAGATCGCGCAGATGGTGCTCAGCTACACTTTTATGGTAAGCGCTGTCTGGCGAGGACTGTGTGTGAGCACGGAGGCTGAATAGAAGACGACTGGCTATTGACACGGACAGCGCAGCAGCCTGCAAATCACCCAGGAAGTACTGATGCTGGATCTAAGTGGCAGGTGAGCTGAGACCCACAGAAGGTACAAAGATCTCGGAAGGAGGCTTTTGACTTACAAGCATGATAACGGACTGCAGACCGCTGAGAGTCATCTCTCGAACAACACGAGCCATAAATCCCTGCGCAGCCCGGGCATAAGTCTCGCAATCATGGGCTTCCACCAGATTGCCATTGAGCCCGAAGAGGTAAATCACCGAGAGAAACGCATACACGCATGATTTGGCACTGTCGGAGCCAGAAGCATCGGTTGGTCCGTAGGCGAGATCCAGGGTCTCCGTGAAGAGAGCCTTGCTGATCACCGGAAAGACGCGACTCTGGTAGGATGAGCAGTATACTCCAACATACTTTTTAACGATAGGCCGGGAAGGAAGTTCCGGCGACGAAGAATGGGACCTGGCGCCCGAAAAGGGATTTGACCATGGAAGCTCAATCGCATAAAGTTTCGCGTGGTCGACCATCTCACCGGTGCAGGTTTCGATCCATTGACGTTCTTCCTCCGGTGTGATGTAGGCTCCATCGTTGAACGCCATGGTCAAAGTGGCCCTTGCTGCAGTACCTGAGGAATCACTTACTCTGTGACTTGGTGCTCAATATTGCTCGGATAGAACTGACTGTTACGAGCAGGCATCGTCTTCGATTGTGCTGCGTCCTCTAATACGGCATCGCAAGCAGTACTTCTGGAGAGATGGTTAGGCATTTGGAAAAGCAAATATGGAGCTGATGATGAAGATTCAGGCGCAACCTCGACCCACTGTTTAAGCCTTGTATATGTGCAGGCAAGGTTATGGTGAAGGCATCAATTGCACTGCGGGGATTCTGCATCGCATTGTATCTAAGAAAGTATCAGAATAGCACAGTAGTTCTTGCGATAGCGTGGTGGCAGCTGCTGCTCGAGAATCAGTGGCGGACCTTTTTCTTGAAGCATGAGTCGCAAGCTGCGCGTCGGGGCGCCTTTTGACACTTTGGACGCCTTCGAGACTTTGGTCACTTTGGTTTGCGATGCCGTCGATTTGAATCGCACACTGGCCCGAGTTGTTCTAGCCATTCTGGAGGCAATGACGCAATATACTGGCTTGACACTGAAAGTGTACTGAGTCGAGGTACGCGATGTTGATCTGAGCTCCCTGCCGAAGCCGAAATTTCGGGTCGCGCTCTACTGTCATTCCTCATAGCCGTCCTTGCATTCAATGCATCTACCCGGGACGGCAGTCCTACATCGTATTCTAACTTCAAAGAATGGTTGAGACTAATTCTCCATCATCCTAAAGCGACTTATAGAACCATTGTCTTGATGATTTATAGGCTACATAACTTATTCACGCTGAGCACGCTGACTAAGCAAACAGTATCAACCATCGACCCGGTATATCGGTATGATGTGTCTGATGCTCTGTCGAATGATTCAAAGCAGAAGATCATGGCAGAGCTTCTCACCGCTCGACTAAGGGGAATCTCAAACATCGAACTAGCCGATGGTTGGCTCAGAGGGACCCCCAATCCTGTCGGGGGCCAGTTATCTATCTAGATTGCGGTGCGAATAATCGCAAGCCCGAGTAGAACAGCCTAGCAGATAACATACAGCATCTTATTCTCAGTAAAAATACACAGGGCGTCCACAGACCCCGTCATCAACTTAGCAACTAAGCCTTTGGTAGTCATCTCATCCAACACAGCGAATCAAACACCAAACCTGAACTCCCGGACCTTCTTCTGATAGTAGAACGACGCCAGCAGACCGGTGGCACCGAGGACCAGAGGCATGGGAGCCCGGGCCTTGGTCTTGATGATCCGCGGGATGGCCGAGCCGAGCAGGAGGATGCTGTTTCCCAGCGCAAGCTCCGTGCCGTAGTCCTTGTTTTCCTTGATAAGGTAGCCTGGGACGAGTCAGTCACAGGCTTCGGATAGAAGGCCCAAGACTTGCAGCGCAAGAGCAGCGCAAGAGCAGCGCAAGAGCAGCGCAAGCGTCCTGCAGAGAACATACCAGCGAATCCGTAGGAAAGACCCAAACCCACACCTGCGATCAAGGAGGGCTTAGAACCCGTTCGCATGAACCCGGCGATGCCGCCGGCGGGCACTAGGTGGCTGTTAGTGGTCATTGGCTTTTCACACCACGCATATTGGGAGGAACTTACAGAGAGCCGCGAGAGTGAAAGAAGGGTGTTCAGCCATGATGAAAGATGGGTTGACAAGGAACAAAGTTCACCAACTCGGTTTGTTGTCAATGGCAGGTCATGCAATCCCGAGTGGTATTTTAAGCTGTCCGAGGGGGCCGTGGGCTAGGCTGGATGCAGTTAGTTTCGGGAGGTGCCCAAGAGCGAACACCGATTATTCAGCGGAGGCTTGCAGCGTGAAGCCGGTCTGAATGAAGGGTATTGAGAGAGAGAGAATTGTAGATTCCACAATGCTTTTTAAATTAGTTCTCAATGGAGTCAGCCTTAGATGCATTGTGCTTGCTATCACGATTCCAGACAATCGCATAGGATCGTCATGCGGAGAACACAACAGTACTATACAACAAGAGCGCAGAAACACCCACGCAGAGTGGAGGGTAGATAGATATCAATTGTAAATGTGAGACATGAACTGCTTTACAGATCGCCATTTGGACTCATGAATGACAAGTGATTGAGACATTCCAAGCCATTGTGCTGCATATATCGATACACTCAATCTCAAGCCCACTGCAAGCTTAAGCCCGAAGTTCCAGGTTAAGTTCCAGGCTGTACAGAACCCCACTCACCTAATCCGATCCCCCCTCCCCACTCCCACTCCAAGCCCAACCACCACCGCCCCGCCCCGCATCTCCAATTTTTTTTTTGTACTGCAGTTCGCAACTCGCAGCATCCAGCACCAGCATCCCCTCACCACCAATCACTCCCCCCTTCCCCCCAATTCCCCATCCTCCACCCTCACCACCAACAATCAAAATGCCACACACCTCCCGCAAAAAGAAACCCAGCAGCACCACCGCCACAAAACGAACAACAATCACCGACGCGACCGGCTGGACGCACGTCACGACGACCGGCAACGCCCACCGCGCCCATCGCCAACAACCCCGCCCGCAAAACAACGCACAACAACCGCAGGAAGAACTTCAACCCGCCGAAGCCCCCAAATCCCTGACCCTCGCCTCCCTCCTCACGCAATACCGCGCCCACCGCACGAAATGGGCCGCCTCCACCACCGCGACGACGCTGACCGCGACGGTGCGGCGGGAGTTTTACCTCGGAGAACAAGAACGAGAACCATCAGCCCAACAGGAACCAGCCCAACAAAACCAAGAACAAGAACCACCAGCGCAACCAGAACCAGAGCCACCAGCGCGAACAGAGCAAAGACCACAACCCGAAGACCAAGATCCTAAACCCGAACAAGCGCCGCCATCCTTCACCACCACCCCCACCCCCACCCGCAAACCCGAATCGCAAACCCGCATCACCAACATAATCTGCATCGGCCTCGGCAGTCCCAGCGGCTTCCTGCGCGGCGGCTGGGTCGACCGGCGCAGCGTCTCCCTCTACCAGCTCAATGCGTTGATGAGTGTGGTGGAGTGTTTTAGTGGTACGCCTACGCCTACGCCTATAACAACCCAACCCTTGCCCCCAAGGAAACCCCCCTTCCCCCCTCCTTCCCCGCTCTAGCGATCAATCAGCCAGTAACCGCCCAAGACTAACACCATGAAACCAAAACCGAAAACAGCAGACCACCCAACCACACCCCTACAAATCTACGCCCAAGACCCCGTCTTCAACGCCCTCGATCGCCAACTCCTCACTTCCCTCGGGATCACCGTCGTGGAGCATCCGGCCGGGTTCGAGCGGGTCAACCCCAATTCGCTGCTGTTCTGTCCGGGGGCCGAGAAGGCGCATCTCGAGGTGCTGCTGGCGCGGAACCCGGTGGGCGTGGTCGGCGGGCCCTTGGAGGATACGGGCTCCGCCGGGATCGAGCGGTTCGTGGCGCGGACGGGGTCGGTGCGGTTGCCGCGGTTTGAGGAGTTAAAGGAGGCGTTTTGGGAGATGAGGGTTTACTATACCCGGCAGGTCGAGGAGGAGGAACCGTGAGGACTGGTGGGCGAGAAGGATTAAGTTGGAATACCAAACACAAGCATACATCTGGAGGACACGACACGACACAACCAGACAATGTGCCAGTCATCCATAGAGTGCAGCACGCGGACATGCAAGGCTCCAGCAACGCAAGTATAGATGATATTTGCAAGTAATTGTCGGTGGCTGAAGACCATCACTATCAACAAACTATATACATACAGCATGGCACGGGAGGTAACATGAACAGCCCTCCCAACAGTCAAGGACAACACAGCCACCCTCACATCCGTGCAAAGAGATAAACAGGGAGCGCAAAACACCGCAAAGAGATTGAAAACAAGCCATTAATCCGTGCATCGTTAAAACATGGTGTATGTCGGAGATTCGTGTGTACATCGAAAGACCCATGACACTAATAGTCGGGACTTGGATAGAGAGTAATGGGTGGAAAGCGCGACACCTCATGTAGCGGTCTTGCCGCCGCAATCGGGGATTTTCAGGCCTGGTTTCAGCTTGCGCGCCGCATCCATCAGTCCCCACTTGTCCTCCCATTCTTCGCCTTCAACGTTGTACTGAACCTTCCAAGGCTCATCAAAGGCCTCGAACCTGTAACTGATTAGGATTATAGTCAAATCAGAAGCAAGAGACTGACGTACCAGAAATACTCAGTCCCATTCTCCAAAGCCTGGCACACCCAATCCGACATGAATTGGTTCATTTCGTCAACACCTGCCACAGCTCCCTGGGTGTCATTTTGGCAATTGTCGCCATCGCCACAATCATTCCCCCCACCGCTGGGCCAGCCCACTTCCGAGATGATCTGCTGCTTGGTGGTGCCTGCAGTCAGCGGAGCATCGTGGTTTTGCCAGAAAGTCCAGGTCCAGCTGGCTGCCTCGGTGGCTTTCACACCGCCAAAGAACGGATGGATGTTGGACATGACGAAGTCTGCTGCGTCAACCAGCTCCTGATTCCAGTTATCACCCAGGTCTGATGTCCCCACGGGGAGGTCGATGCTGTTTTGCTTGAAGTGGTTTTTGACATCAGTCATGTAGCTGATCAGGGTTGTCTGGGCAGTTGCAATGTCTGGGCCTGCGCGATATAGAGCTTCGTTACCGATGATAGCTCCCTTGAAGATCGAGGTATCATTTGCGTCATCGATGATGTTGTACAGCTGTTTGACTTGGCGCTCGCTTGTCGTTTGGTTGCTGTCAATCCACACGCCCAGCCAAAGCTTCATGTTAGTCAACTCGAGGCGGTCGATAGCAGTAAGCACCATCTCTGTTTGGTTGCAATCGGTACCATATAGTCGGATCGTATTGGTCAATTGCGAGAGAACTGCGAGATCGCGCGTGACATTGTTCTGGGAAGGAGGATACTTCAAGCAGAGCGGGTACTGCACTCCCCATGGCGTATAATCCACTCCCGGGAAGACCTTGTGCAGATTCGCATTATTCATCAAATCCTTGATTTCTGAAGAATCTTTATCAAGCAGTCCATCAGACGAGTCCGAAGACCCGTCGGAGGAACTACCCGACCCGTCTGCCGCAGCCGAACCATCGTGACTTCGGTTACCCAAAATGCCTCCGACAGCTCCCCCGACTATGGCAGCCACAATAATGAACGCGAGAGTGAGTCCCACAATCCATGCGCGCTTGCGACGGCTTGCTCCGGCTATTGAGCCAGCTCTCTGTCCCTTCTCGGCTGCTTCCAGCCCTTGGCCAGGAACCGGTCCATACGACGGACTGGAGTCTTTCTTCCCCCCAAACAAGCCCCTCAAACCACCTAAAAGCCCACCTGTAGCGGCTCCCCCGACGGCGGCAGCACCTGCTGTTCCGTTAAAGCTGTGATGACTCGACGGCGACACACCCTTTGGCGCCACGTTGACAAACCCATCGTCCCCGTCATCGGCAATCTCATCCGGATTGAACGTGAGCGGGTAATGTTGCGTAGAATAAACCGATTGCCGTTGGTAGGGCCCTTCACTGAATGCCCCCACCCCCTGATAAGGACTATCTTGAATACTGTGCTGAGACGGCGCCGTAGTCGGCGTCAACTGTCCCGGAGCTGCACCCGCCGCGCCCAGCGCAACATTCGACCCGTAGGAATCGCGCGGTCGCAGAGTTTCCGAGCTGGCGTTAACGGTTCCTTCTGAATGTGGCGGCGGTGCGGGGACATACGGGTTGTCGGCGCCAGTGGTGTGATAGTCTCGTTCTGCGGGGATATTGTACAATGGACCGGCTGTTTCCCTGAAAGCGTCAACACCACTCTGGCGGTCATGGGTATTAGCAACGCCAAGGGCGATACCACTGATGCCTCCGCCCACGGCCGAGGGCCCCATATTGTCAATGCCCGGCGTCGCGGTGAATTGGGTGCGTGTGTGCTCCAAGCTCCGACCTTCGGGCACGGGCTCCAAATTCCCGTCGTTGTACGCTTGACTGTGTCTCTGGTGTGATGCGATAGTACGATTCATATCCATGTCGCTGCAGTACCTGCTGTCCATAAGACGCCCCTCTTCTGGCGATGAACGCCGGCGGGAACCTGCGACCACCGCCCCGTCATCGCCCTCGCTGTAACTAGCAACCCGTTTTAGCCCGGACATGGCTGTGAAAGAAACGACTGGTCACGCCAAGGTGGCGCAGGAAGGCTTCGTAGGAAGTAGAGCCGATCAAAGAAGAAAAAAGGCCTAGATAAGATAAAGATAGATGGAGGAGATGCCAGAGAGTTATATGAAAATAGGAAAAGAAACGCAGCTTTGCACAAAGCAAGGCGGGAGGCAACGGCTTGGCGGGCTGTCCTGAAAATAGCAGCACAATCAGGCAGGGACGAAGGAAAAGCAGCCGACAGGGTTTAGGGGTGGGCAGCGATGGGAAGTCAATACTGGAGCGAGGAAGCGACTGGAACGAGAACAGCTGCTATGGGCAAGTGAGAAGAACCACGGTTACTCTTCTCAGATGACCATGGGAAAGTCCCAGGAACGACGGCGAACGAACAATGGAAGGTGACAGCAATACGATCTCATGAAACCTAAATGGGTCAGCGCGAGAAGAACCGTCTGGACGCATTCATACGTAGCGAACAATGCGGGAGATAGATGTCTCAGATGGGTTGACGTGAAGGGGGGGGAGGGAGAAGAGAGAGACAGAGAGCGGGTGGGAATTCCTCACATACCAACTCTAGATCGGAGATCATCAATCAGATGAATTACGTAGAAAGAGAGGACGGAGCTCTCTTCTCTTCTCTTTTCTTGAGAGGCAGAAAAAACAAGCGAGCTCGTATTTTTGAAGGCATTACCGCATGCATCGCTGGAGTTGTGGTGGCGGCTGGTGGACCAGGCAACGAAGACTTAGTTTAGTCGAGCCCAGAAGAAAGAGCGAAAGCAGCCAGTCAGTGAGTAGGAACTCGGAAGTAGTATTGAATCATTCCATCCTAATGATGCGGAGAAGAGAAGAACCTCAGGCCGCCCAGGGTCCACTGCTTATTTCAGGGTCTGCCACTAATCCCCTTCCGGGCGCATCCGAGCTCCGGACGCGGTCACTTGCACCCGCAGTGGTTCTCGGTTACAACCTTCAATCCATGGACTCTACAGAACAAAAGACCCTCGCCAGTCGAATCCGCATAGTTTGACCCAACATAGTTCGATCACATTATTTTGTTCATACAACGGTCACTCCTCTCCCTCATGCAGTACAAAAATATTTCCTACCCCACCCCCCTCGGAGATCACGTTGTGGCGTCGCAAGCCACCCAGCGAACAGATACTTGTTTGTCTCAGACTTACGTCGAAAAAATTGCAGTCTCTCTGCTCGCGGAGGCGCAGTGAGGCACGGAATCATGCATTGGCACCAAAACAATAAGCAAATGAAGAAGAGCGAGCCTTGTCCCTCCTTCCGCCACTATGCGCAGTGGAACGAATCGTACATACAGCATGCATATATGCGAAACCTATTTCACAAAGAGACAGCCACGCCCGCGAACCTTTCTCCTAAGCCAAACCAGGTCATAACGTCATTCTGTCATTCATGTTCAGCGCAGCGTCTGTAGAGTCATCATAAATCGTCACGCAAGAATACAACTGTAAGCCAAATAGAATATACGACACACCGAAGAAGTCTCTCCCGATCCACCACTGGATCTCACGAGACCACCATGTTTCTCCTTACCGTCATGGTCTCATTTCAGCGCGATATCTACAACTCATTTGACATCCGTGATGTTCCGCGAAAGAGATCTCGTCACATGTTTCAGAAAGAATAAAATCAGAGAGTGTGTGCAACGAAAGGCGGCATAAGTGCCGCGAGAAAAGTGTAAAGACGTCACATAAGAGAAGGGCGTGACAAGATAAAAGGAAAATCGTAACGGAGCAGTCGCGGAGCAGCGGACCGGACCTTTGCTTAAAGGTGGATTGGTTCATGTTGGAAATTTCAAGCTTCAACTTCTTCGGCACTGCGTCGGGAGGCAGACAGAATATGTGCCGTGGCGTCTCGGGCTGGTGTGACTCGTCGCTTGCGCTCGAGGAAGCGTCGCTTTCCCGCTCGCGTCTCGAAATGTTGCGGAATCGCCGAAGCTTCTTGGCCCTCCGCCAGCATTGCGGCGCGCATTTTGTTACGGTATGCATCCACTATTACCCAAAGACCATCGGAGTTAGTTATTGTCATCGATACACGAGCTTACAGTAACATTGATGTTCCTGAGATCAATGTCACTATACCAAGAAACAAATGGGGCACGTACGGGATCGCTGCAGAAACATCATCCGTCCTGCAAACACTCGGCTTTGGCTCCAGCTTATCCGATAAGCCAAGTCGTTGAGGAGAACCTCCTTCCGTCGTCGGCCTCGAGACAATCGTGGAACTGCAATCTCACCTTCACCATCAACCTGAGGGACGGGAACCATGACTCTTCCAGCGGTCGGCAATTCTTCGTCTTCGTCGTCCAGCTCGGAGTGATCCTTGATGAACCGGTCGCCAGGTACCACGGAAGTGCGAGGGCTTCGCATTTGGACGGGGAAATAG